GACAATGCCTAATAATGACAGCTCAGAAACAGTCTGTGCTCAGGGCACACAGCGGATACTCTACCACATCAGTTCAACTGGGCCGACTGTAGCACTACTTCCCTCTGTGTGCGTGCGTGCGTGCGCAAGTGTTTCTTTTCTCTCGGCCAGCTCAATAATACACACCCGTTCGTAGCCTAAACAAACCACATGAAAAAATAGGTGATCGGTATAGCACCCTGGCTACGTACCGAGCAGGCCAGCTTCACTGGTAATACACACGGCATCAAAAGCCCAAAAGCTTTCCGTCGGCATAACATAGAGCCACTAAACTAGCTGACTCGTCCTACACAAGCATGCGTGCGTGAGTGCGTGCACACGTTCGTGCATGGGTGCGAGAGTGCGCACACGCAAGTAGGCATGCGTGTGCGTGCGTGCGTGCGTGCGTCCACGCGTGTGCGTGTGAGTAAGGGTGGGGTTGTTAAGCTGTTGGCTAAGATTTTTTTTAGAAAATTTCTTTTCGTGTATATGATCTTAATATACAAATCTGCCCGTGTTACTACTACCGTCTTTAGGAAAAATGAGGTTTTATTTGTTAAACTAGGTATGTCGGCGTTTGAGTTCTCACGACAGTGCATAAACTGTGAACGGAGATGCTAACCTTACAACTGTTTGCTTAACTGCAAATGTTTATACTGCTTGGGCACTCTGTGAGAGAGAGAAAGAGAGAGGAGAGGAAATGGTGAGAGAGAGAGAGAGCGCGAGAGAGAGAGAGAGAGATAGTACGAGAGGTCATACTAGAGAGAGAGAGGGGGGGTAGATGCAGATGGAGGGAGAGAAAGTGGAATTTGGAGAATCGGGAGAAGTGGAAACTGGAATTTGAGTTTAGGCCCATAAGTGAACCAAGTTTGTCAGGCAATCTTAAATTTTGTAACTACCATAAGAATTATGTCTTCTAGTAGTTAGTACAAGTATTAAATTTTCAAGCTGGCCAACTACATTCCGATTCCAATAGATCTAGTGGTTGCAGATGATGGTGACTATAGCATCTGGCCACCACATATGTAGGGTACGTATGTTCTTATTTGATGATGGACAGTGTTATTTTTGGTCTGTGGGTTACTAACACCGTTTATCTTAGACGTAAGTAATTTCCATATACGCGATGCTTGTTTCTTGCATATAGTTCACATACTGTGCTTTGGTTGCGACATGTAGAATAAGTTACGTGGGGATGCCTTGGTGAGTGGCTTGAAGAAGTGTTATCGTGAAGTAATATCAAGAGCGTATAAAGAAGGCTTTCTTTGAAAGCCTTGAAAGCCTTTGAAGGCTTTCTTTGAATGCCTTCTTTATACGCTCTTGGTAATATGGTTAAGCAGATAAATTCGCATTAGCTATGAGCACATCAGGGACCACTGTGCAATTTCAGTTACGAATAAATAAAGTGACGCCAGAATGAGATAAACCGCTGGAGTTTTAAATAGCATGAAAACAGTAATCCCAAAAAAGTTGTCTGTAGCTCATCCTTCTAATTTGCGATCGCAATTTATTTGAGAAGCGTAATTCAGTATTAGCATTCTCCGTTATTTTCGTGAATGCCTTATGCGTTATACTCGGCACATCATCTTTGGGAGTGTCTATATTCAGGCCGGTACGGGAGATTACGGTACGCATATATTTGCTAATATATTGACTAATCGTGCGTCAATAAACTCAATATTCACAGAGAGTATAGCTAAGACATGTGTTTATAGGTATCTAGAATTTTAGAAATTTAATCATCTGTAATTCACTTCCGCGCGCATATATTTGCTATATTGACTAATCGTGCGTCAATAAACTCAATATTCACAGAGAGTATATGAATTCAAGCCGGTACGAGAGATCATTTGCATAATATATTCTAGATACCTATAGACACATGTCTTAGCTATACTCTCTGTGAATATTGAGTTTATTGACGCGCGATTAGTCAATATATTAGCAAATATATGCGTACCGTAATCTCCCGTACCGGCCTGAATATAGACACTCCCATCATCTTTGGGATGGATGTACGCGCAGACATCATGTACCGTGTTCGCCATGAAATCAGACTGCTTGCACCGCCTGCTTAGAAAAACTCACACGACTATTAAGTCTAGTCGAAACAGAACACGCGCAGCTGCATGTCAGCCACACAGTCAGTGTTTACATCGCATGGCCAGCCGTCGGTAGCCGCCGTTGGTGAGTGATGACCTCCAGGCAAGCATCTCATCCTGCAGCAACGATACTAGCGACCAGCGCTCATCACAGCAGCTGCTAATTAAACTCATGTTAATTAGTAGTAAGCGAGTTTTTGGCGAACGTGCTGTAATTGGTTTGTGTCTGGGTATGTTGGAGGCTGCAGCTGCTAGGTTGGGATGGAGGCATGTTCCACAGCAGGGAAGTGTTTGATATTACTATGTACAATGTATTATTATATGATATTATGTATGTACTGATTGTCTGTTCTTTGTGCAGAGATCTAAGGTTCAACAAGATAACGGAGATTCGCCCTAGGACGTTTAGAAATCTTCACAATCTGAATACTCTGTAAGTCATACTCTCTACATCATATGAACCTATCTATCTCACTATACTCCTAAACCCCTAGTACTCAATTCCTAGAAAATCAAAAAACTATGTGAGAAGCCAACTTTGAAGATAGTTAGCCTAGTGAAATAACGTTCATAACCTATTACGTACCAAAAAAAAACAGTGGAAAAACCTCTTGGAACGTGAAATTCCATGTGCCCTTACAGAGCTATAGGTTGCTAGTTACAGCTATGTGGTACAACTGGCTGTGGCGAATGTACAGAATCATTTCATCGCAGGCAAGTTCTTTTGCACGCTTTAGATCTACTACTAAAAGTAGCTACTGCATGATTTCTAATATTTGTACGTTACATTGTGTCGATGAGCTTATAATATACTGATAACAACAGTCATGCAATTACACTGAATGCAATTGTGCCATAGTTAACATAATGAGTCTAAGCTCATATTGTCTTCTTCTGTTTTAGGTTATTAAACAATAATAATATCAGACGATTAGTAGATGGAGCTTTCGAGGGGCTGCGGAATGTCAAATATATGTAAGTATAATGCAATCACACTAATCAAGTAAATTTGTCTAGTTTTTGTAAGATTTAATTGGAGGAGGAATAGATTAGGAAAAAGTCTTGCATACTCAATGTGATTTACATAGGAGATTATCTAGACTATTATTGGACAAAATTCCAGTCTGAGTTCACAGATTTTGATATTAGGATGGTAACTGTGGTGGCTATTATAAGGATTATAAAAACTAGCATCCGTTAGCACATTGCAATAGACTTCAGAATGCCACCAACGTAAAACATTCAGCTTTTTGGGAAATGGCACTTGACTTTCAAAACCAATCGGACAACTGAAGGTACAGCAGGCATACTGTTTATAGCAGTGACGCAAAGTCATCCATTTTCATGGAACAATAAATGTTCAGTGCGTATTTCTGACAATCATAAATAGCTTGACAAAAACCGTGAATGTTTGGCCGTGAAAGTTCCTTCGAGAAATGTCTATTCTGTAGCTTTTTGCTGGCGGACTATTTGCCTTAGGTTTACTGACTTATTGCGTTTGCTTCTTTCCTTGTTTATGGCAGATATCTATACAAGAATGAAATTCAGTCCATTGACCGTAGAGCATTCCAAGGTCTTCATAACCTAGAGCAACTGTGAGTGTAATTAATTTACAAATTATTGGATGAAATTCAGAACTATTAAATATACATCAATGAGTACAGTAGTGTAACTAACAGTTAATTATGTATCAAATGGGCTCACGTCCACGTTATATTGTGTAACACCACACTATGTATACCATAAAAGAGCATGTGCTGAAAAGCTCACGATTTCATGCTGGAGAACATTTTACAATAATAGCAGTATCCCTGGAAAAGCTTAGGCGGGAAAAATAAATATGACTTCTATGCGGCAGAAGCTGGTGAAAGAGACACTGACAGACTAGCTGCCATGCCTTCTATGTCTTTATACTGTACTCATACTTGGAACTAGAGCATGAAAACAACATTGCTTATTTGTAAATACTGCTGTCGGAGCTAAAAATATTACACGACAGATATCCACAGCAGTGAAAGTCTGGTCTTTCTTCTATTTATTATTCTTTTCTATGCTAATATAAGTCACCTATACATGGTTGAATTATATATATATATAAGGCTCCACGTGTCTGTCGTTAATCTTACGTGTGATTTACCTCCCCACAGCTACCTACATTTCAATGAAATTAATCACCTAGATGCTGAGACGTTCTCCAATCTACCAAAGCTAGAGAGATTGTGAGTGTTCGCTCCTGAACGAACGCACGGTTGGAACAAAAACGAAATAAAATAAATAACGTAACGTACTGCATGAAACGGCACACATAACATCTTAATCGGGTTACTTATCGAAATATTGTTGCTTATAATGAACAGGCAGCATTTGGAAACTGCAAAAAGTGCTATTTTGACAGCGGTGGATTATTGAGGTCGGACAGGGTTACGCCTTTTCTGAAGGCGGAGCACCTGTTATGTGTGCGTGTGTGTGCGTGTGGGTGTGCATGTGAGTGCGTGCGTGTGTATGTGTGTGTGTGTGTGTGTATGTGTGTGTGTGTGTGCGGTGGTTAGTAGTGATGAATGTGATGGTGAGCTGACATTTGCCTGCTGCAGGTTTCTTCAGAACAACAAGCTGAGGGCTCTTCCCCGTGGTTCGTTTTCAAACCTACCGAGTCTACACAGACTGTAAGTGTTACACTCATATAATAACCCTCTTCTTTTACCACCACTTTTCTCCACCACTGCGCCTTTCACCATTTTCGTGAGCACTATATAATATATATATAATAAGTAAAAACACACGGACACTCATGCCGATATAGAAAATTATAAATAATATAGAAAAATAGAATAAGGTGTCAATTATATATATATATATATATCAGAAGTAGATAATAGGGAAGGAGTGGGACTTCAATAAACATGGGAAATTCGTCATTTACTAGCCTTTGAATACCTACGATTTACTACGCGTAACTCAACCAACTTGAGCTCAAATCGTACACAGTACATTCTCCTAGCATCGTGCGAAATCGTTTCCTCGTATACACCCGCAATCCAGAGATACAGACTAAAACGTTCGACACGATTCTCCATTCTGTTGGCAGCAAACCGAATCCATAACCCGCCTAACTTGAAACAATAGCCAGCTACTAACGACTCTTGCGCACTCTTGTGCCCTCGGCGATGCGGTGTGGCTTGCTGGGAGATTGGAGCTGGAGCTGCTGCTGATTGCGATGGGCATGCGTGCGTGGGGGGCATACCAGCTGTAAAAAGGTCAAAGATTAGCTCGCCGACTATTGCGTCGATGTCCAGTCTCCCAGCAAGCCACACCGCATCGCCGAGGGCACAAGAGTGCGCAAGAGTCGTTAGTAGCTGTCTATTGTTTTAAGTTAGGCGGGTTATGAATTCGGTTTGCTGCCAACAGAATGGAGAATCGTGTCGTACGTTTTAGTCTGTATCTCCGGATTGCGGGTGTATACGAGGAAACGATTTCGCACGATGCTAGGTGAATTTACTGTGTACGATTTGAGCTCAAGTTGGTTAAGTTACGCGTAGTAAATCGTAGGTATTCTAAGGCTAGTAAATGACGAATTTCCCTTGTTTATTGAAGTCACACTCCTTCCCTATTATCTGCTTCTGATATATATATTTATAATACAAAAATATGTATGTATGTATATATATAAATTATAATATCATTCACTCATGCAGACACATTAACTTCAGTTTATTTAGGTATAGTTTATGCAAGTCTCAAATCCATTCATATATATAGCTTAATCAGCAAATATAATATAACAAATACCTAAGATATCTCCATACTAGCAAAAATATTTTGTCACCAACAAGATTAATTATTTCACTACTAGTGAAAATATATTACCACTAGTGGTAACTGTTTCTGTCTAGTAATAGCTGATGAATACAATGCTGATATATAAAGCAGTTGCTACGTTGGAATAAACTGAGCAAGTGTTTCGTACAGCTGTTGCGTGCCACCGGGGTTACTCGATTCTGCTTGCTACTTGTTGCTATAGACATGCAGATGTCTGCGTGCTCACGTTTGTGCTTAGCAGTCTATGCTGCTGCCGCTGCCCTCTCGGTTCTTGTATAGCCGGCTGCTGCAAAAAACCACACGGATATTATGGCGTTAGTTGGTGTGCTTGTTTATTCTCAGTAGGAGAAATTGGTTACAGAACGATGCAGTTTTTCATGGTCATACAGCATTAAAGTGGTTGATGGAATGTATTTATAAGGAAGCTGGAATTAAACGTTGCGATAGCGTTGAGTATGACTCATGTGGTTATATATGCATGAGACATATAGTGGCCATGTACTTACTCACTAATATGAGACATTGTATTTACGTGAATTTTGACATGTTGAAATTTTGCAATGTACCGTGATGTAAATAGAACAATTTGGGAAAGGCCCATGGCTGTCTTCTTCGTGTATATATATTTGCCCTACAGTACATTTGTGCCGTGTTTCCCCACCAAACGAAAAACCAGGTCTCTAGTCTCTCAGCTGTGAGTGTTTCACAACTTCCCTAACCAGAAAATATCGTTTAGACCAGAGTACCAGGATACTCTGCAGGAATCACCGAGATGATTCTTAGTTTTTTTCTTCGCAAGATTGAAAACATGCGCAGCGACGATACTTTACTGACTGTATTGCATGATTTGCACGCTCGTATACCTAACTCCTGCACTTACGGATCGTAGGCGTCTAGATGGCAATGAGTTGGTGTGTGACTGCAACGTGGTATGGCTTGCCGAGATGTTACGCGAGGGACCGGTCAACACCCAGGCTGCGGCCACGTGCTCGCATCCAGAGAGTCTGCGTGGACGCTCGCTGACCAGCCTGCAGGAAAACGAGTTGAGCTGTGATCAATCCAATAGCATCACAAACTATGGTAAGACTGACCACTTGAAGTTAGGGCCAGTGTAAGACTGACCACTGTGAGCTGTGGCCAGTGTAAGACTGGCGAGCATATAAAACATGTATATATAAATGTATAAAAAATGCATACACATTTAGCAACATTGGTAACAAATATATTTATCAACATAATATTGCTTTTTTCCTTTTTCCGGTGGTCAGATTTGGTTTCAGATCTGTATGAGTCTTATAGCGCGTTCACACGTAGCAAAATCCACGGTTCGTACGCGTACGAAACAGAATTTCGTACGTACTCGCGATAAATTTCCCTCGTCTGAACGACCACGTATAGCTAGACCGCGTATCACTATCCTGACAAAATGAGTGCGTTTCCTACGTACTTCGTATAGCTATACGCGTATAGCGGACGTGTGAACGACCGGCTATAGCTATACGCGTATAGCGGACGTGTGAACGACCGGCTATAGCTATACGCGTATACGCGTCAGGCTTTGTGGGCCGAGCAACGTACATGACCTGAGCTTCATCTGCTTCCGGTACCCATGTCTGTGTTTGCTTCGAAGTGTTGTCGTGATTTGATATTTTGCATTATTTCGTAATATTTCTCGAAAATGCCTGACCGAGGAGCTACTTGGAGTGATGTAGAGGTTAAGTGCGCTATTGAGATTTGTGGAAGTGAAGAAATACAGCGACAACTGCATGGTATGATACACAATAAAGTTGTCTTTGAATTTATTGCAAGAAAGCTACAAGATATTGGCTTTAAGGCCAGGTCAGGAGATAAAGTGCGAGATAAACTGAACAGGATCTGGCAAGAATACCGAAAAATAACGCGACGTACGTACATTACAAAACTACGTGTGAACGCTGTTTAACTCAAGGTCACGCTATGGTCGCCCATTCGAAACTGGGTTTTACGGTACGTGTGAACGCGCTATTAGTGACTCATACTGCATCTTTATTTCCCCCACACGAAGGAACACACGCCCATTGAAGAGGATCTGTTTATGTTATGCCATCGATACATAACACCTACACGATCTCCTCCCTTATAGAATATGTACGATGCCAACATGCACACGACCCCCCCCCCTCATACACACACGCACGTATCCATACGCACACGCACATATGCACACCAATGTGTGTGTGCCAAGCTACGTGCGTATATGCCTGCATAAACACGTCATGCACACACACACACACACACACACACACACACACACACACACACACACACACACACACACACACACACACACACACACACACACACATA